CTCTTTCTGAAAGCTCGCACTGAAAACAATGAGAATTTATCCTGAAATGTCACAGTATCATTAAAATTGTCAGAACAAGAGTGAGGATCAGGGAACTGAGTTGGAAAAACAGTGTCCATAACTCGCATAAGGTTCTCCAAGGAGACTTTATCCTCCCAAAAAAACTTTCAGAAGTTTCTAAATCAGTGATCCTCCAGGTTCCTCTTGGTGTTAACCAGGTGTAATCTCACATTTAACCAGCACTGGAGGATCTTCAAAGTCACGAAACAAACATGGGCCAACTGGACACTTCTCCACTTAGTATTCAAATGAAATTCACCAAGTATTGTTTATTTTTCACATCCCTTCACAGGCCTGGGGCCACTTATAATGACACATAAATGTGCATTAGGAGAAAAGGAGTGAGGTAAGTGGGAAGAAGGCCTTCTGGGCTTGGGCTCAGAGGCCTTGACTTTTTGGGGCGAGATTGGTCTTGAAGGCACAGAATCGCTTCACCTTTCTGAACATTGACATTGCTATCTCAGCAATGGGAACAGCAATATTTACTGACCAAGGGCAAGTCAGGGATTACAGTCAGCACTGGGGGTAAAATGCACCATAGAGTGGATTACGTCATACAAACACACAATACTGGAAAGGGTGGAAGTGTGAGTTCCTCATCTAAGTGCAGAGCCTGGAGCTAAGGGCTTTGAATGTTGACTTTGCCACTTGCCAGCACAGTGAACTTCAGAAGCTTAGCTTTTTTATTCTTCAGTTTCTTCATATTTAGACTGTGGTCCTAATAGTACATACCTCTTAAGGTCATTGTGTCTCAGGGACACCAGATGAATTCATAGATGTAAACAGTTAGATCATGCCCAGACACAGTGGGCACTGGGGGTTGGTGATCGCCACTGCTCACAATCTGCAGTGGAATAGGAAAGTACATGTACAAAAACCTGAGGCCAAGCATTATGTGTTACAGCAGGGACCACCTCTATTTTGTTCAATCCTCTCTCCCCAGTGCTTGTGTGATGTTAGAACACAGGAGACGAGCAAAAATCCTGAATAAATGCACATCAAATGTAACCATGGACTAAGTGAACATCAAATATAACTCAGAACTTCACAGCAGCCCAGCAGCCAGGGAAACATCTTGAGTCATATAGCTCTCAACTGTTGATAAAAGAAAGACACACATCCTATCATCAAAAGCTACAAACTTTTTCTTAGTGCCAATTTTTTAAAAAGAATGTATCACTTGGGTCCCAGGTTGGTGCCAAATACCCTAATGGAGCTAATGGATCATGTCTTCATAGGAGTTAACTAGAGGATGCAGAAATTTCTTCCTCTGACTTTGGATGACAACTGGACCATAATAATCATAATAATATCTGAGAACATCTCAGAGCAAGACTTAAATAAATAAGGTCACGACGGGTGGCTTCTTTGACCACTTTCATAGTGTAAGGACCAAGCTCATCCATTCTCAGAGTGGAGGTTCTTAACCATTTTAGAGTCAGAGACCTCTTCAAAGAATCTGATAAAAACAAAACAAAACAACAACAAAAAAACACCAATAACTAAGCCTTTCTCCTGAGAAACACACACCTTCACTCAACATTTTGCATACAGCTATAGAAGGGTCCATGGATCCCTAAATCTCATTTATTAATCTATTAACCTGCCAGGTATCTATGAACTGAAAACTAAGAACCAGTTAGAGGGGTAGCTGGAGAGACCGCCCTGAGATGCCACATGTGGAAACAGCCTTTCAGTGTGCAGTGGTGCAGAAGTGCAGCCATTGTTCTCCCCTGTCTCAGCTGGGCTTCCTGCCAGCAGTTGGCTCCAGGCTGAGCTCTCTGGCAAGAGCTTGGAGGACAGATAGCCTCTTTTTGATTGCAGGACAGTCCGCATAGTTCGGATGTAAATGGAAAAGTGGTTCAGACAACCTCCCTTTTCATCACCTTCTTGGGGAGTCAGGTCATGCACCTAATTACCTGAAGTCACCAACATCCTCAAGAAGCAGTTTTGGAGACTTCTCATGAGCTGCAGACACTAGGAAGCGCCTTCTGGAGCAGGGGTACCTTGTCATCATGGGCCTTGGCCGTGGAGAGTGGTGGCTCAGAGGGACCACAACTTTCCAGCAGGAGTGGCTCCTGGCATCCCTGCCAGAGAAGTGGGTAAAGCTGCTTTCAGGACCCTGGGGAGATTTTCTTGATGAGAGAATTGCTAACTCTCCTCCTGGATGTGGTACCTGCAGCTGCCAAAAATGACCAGTTTGGATGTGATACAGATTTTCTGCCACTCTTTTTGGGCAAAATTAGACAGTATAAGAATGCTGCTTTTGATCCTTTCTAGAACATTGGGTGATACTGGCAACAAAGCAGAAGAGTGTCTGCATAAAGGCACAGAATACCTTTCTGCCCTCAGCGCCACCCTTCTCCCCTGCCCCAATGTATTCTCATCTTGTGCTCCAATTACAGGCACTCTCTACATGTCCACATCATCCCTTAGAATATGAATTGGCTTCCATTGGTTTTAAGCGCATGACACTCCTTTCACCTTTTAACACTCCTCTCATATCCGACCTGCTCTTGGAAGCCTTCTGGGATACTCCCACCTAGGAAGCCCATAGCATATCCCATATCTGTTGGCCAAGGGCAACCATGCTGGTCCATCAGAGCTGGTTCCTCATCCACGTCATGGGGACAAATGATGGTCCACATACAGGAGTTGTACCTTAGGATATGTAAAGGGCTCAGAACAGGGCGGGCTACAGGAAGTCCTTGAATGCCAGCAGCAATGCTAACAATGCTCATAGCCAGTTACCATCCTGCAAGCACTTTCACGTCCTCTATCTCAGTGAATCATCATCTCAGGTCTCTGAGAATGGCATTTGTATGATGTTGAATCTGAGTCACCTAGAGGGGAACAACTTGTCCACAGATGCAGAGAGGAAGTGACAGGACCAAGGCTCCCCATGCCGCCATCCCCGTGGTTCCTACCTGTCATCACAGCGCCGTGTCTGGAACAATTAGGCCTCTGAAAAAGCTCTGAGTGGAGAGGGGAAGGCTGCCATGAGGGGACATTTGCATTTTCAAACTGCCTGCGTTTTACCAGAGGGAGTCTTTGCGACAGTCTCTTTAACACTCTTCCTCACCCAAATATATTACAAGCAATGCTGCGGAAGGGCATCTCAAATGAGTACATAATGATCAGCCCTGACCTCCAAGGTGTTACTGGGCCCGCCAGTGAGTGACAATGTTGTGAAAATCATTCCCGAAGAAGAGATGTCCCCATCCAACTTGAGGGACCAAAGAATAGCAGTGATTGAAGGATTTCAGGAATGTCCTCCTGGAAAGGAGAACTCTAAGTCATGCTGGGGACGCTGCTGCTGCCTTGAAGAATGAATGGGGCTGGCAGGCTGAAGGACCACTCCGATGTCTGTGCCTGTAAACAAAGCCTGGTCTCATTTCTATAATCCAGAGCCCATCTCTACAGCCGCCTACAGGGGTCTCAGCTCTGTGGAGAAGCTGCTGAGTATCTTTATAAACCTGAGACGGTTGATTTCAGCATCTGTGTTTGGGGAGGCAGAAACTTGGCCTTGTCTGGATGGTCAGTGTTTATCTTTCAAACCACATTGAATTCAACATGAAATTCTTTATTCTATACCACCTTGACTGGTATTTAACGAGGCGTGAATTGGATCTAAGAACCAAGTTAAACAACTTCTGGCTCTCTGGTTCAGGCCTATGTTTAGGGACTATACTGGGATAGCCCTAAACCTTCTATAAACACGTGTCAGGATATTTCAAGCCTAGAAACCACTTTCATACCGATGCTCTCTTTCGATCCTTCAGATAATGCTGTGCATTAATCAGGGCATGGATTCCACACACTACAGTGCAGAAAGACCAAACAACTTAGTTGCAGGATTTTTCCTTGGTTCAGCTAAAGACAGGGCTCTTGTTCTTCCCATGCCACAAAAATTTAGGGTCACAGGTAGCTTAAAGGGTGAGCAAAACAGGGTTTTATTGGGTGAAAAGGGAAACAAAATCGGAGAAACAGCGATCCTCAGCAAGGCCACAGTCCCCGGCTGGAGCGCTTCCCAAGGGTTCTTTGAATTCCAGGTACCACACAGGAAGAGGGGAGCCAGCCTCCCGAGGCTCCACCTCAGTGGACAGGCTGGTTGGAATTTCACCAGGGACACCCTCCCGCCCGGCTGTCTGAGCTTGTTGCTGATCATGGAGTTATTGAAGGAACCAAGAGAATTTCTACACTTAGGACTCTCTTTGCTAATCATCCTCCCACCAAAGATCTGTCCAGTGATCAATAACAAGAGAAGAGCAGGAGGAGAGGGCCGCCTTGGGGGACATGAGGGGGACAAAAAGTGATTGTGCCCAGCCCAGCCCCACCCTCAGTGCCCAGGGAAGCACGGAGGCTGGTGTGCACGCAGGCTGTGTGTATATGCGCACTCTGCAAGCTCCTAGCACCGGAGAAGGGGCCGTTGCCTTCTCTCCTTGCCCAGACATCCAGCTCAGCCTAAAGCCTGGGTAGGGCTTGGGGTGCTGACTGGTTTCGGTCCCTTGGGAAGCCTGCCTCTGAAAGGAAGTTTAGCGGGTCTTGTACAGTGGCCAGTGTTTGCCAACGGCCTAATAACACCACTTCTCTTTTACCTATGACAGTGCACATCACACTTTTCCAATATTCACATTGGCACTCATTCTGCAACCACACAATTGCCTTTTATGAGGACAACAGGATGGGGATTCTAATTTCCACCGGGCAAATGATCTGCCTGAAGTCTCAAAGCAATCATAGACAGAGTCAGGGCTTAAGCAGCCAAGTCTTATCCTGAATCCACAGCCAGTCACAGTCTAGATTTTGCCACTTGCCTCCCTGACCGCCCCCTCTATCCAGTAAGCATCTATTTACCAACATCACTAGCCAGCTACTGTCGCCAGGAGAGAGCCCAGAAGCTGCCCATGAGGTTTCTGCTTCGTTAATATGGTGTGTGCTTTACATCCAAATCCTCCTGCCAGCTCCTCTTCCCCAGGAGCTCTGACAGGTTGTACCAGATGTGCATCCTTTATCTGAAAAGCTTGGGACCAGAAGAGTTTTGGATTTTAAGTGTTTTGGGATTTTGGAACATTTGCATATATATAATAAGATATATTGGGGATGAGACTCAAGTCTAATCACAGAACTCATATATGTTTCATGTATACTGTATACACACAACCCAAAGGTAATTTATACAATGATTATAATAATATGTGGGAACTGTCACATGAGGTCAGGTGTGGAATTTTCCATTTGTGGGGGCATGTTGGTGCTCAAAAGTTTTGGAATTGGGGACATTTTGGATTTGGGATTTTGGGATTAGGGATGTTCAAAGTGTACACATGCAAGACGCCAGAGGGCCAGTGGCAGGTGGGGAAGCCTCCCTTATCAACAATGGAACAAGCACGCAGCTGCCCGCCCTTCCAGCAGGCTCCCATGTGGCACTTCCCTAACAGCCTGGCTGCAAATACTGCACAAGCCAGAAGGCCACAGCAAGGCCTCCTCCTTCCTTCCTCTTGAACTCGAGGTGGGCACATCTGCGGCACGTCACCCTATCTGACCTTGCTTCCATGTCTCTTACCTGGGGCGCTCTGAGCAGGCATGGCCTCTACTCAGGACCCTCCCCAACATTTGATACCTGCTCATGTTCAGATCCCAGTGGGTGTGTCAGTTTATATTCCAGCCCCTCAGACCAGCCTTCCCCACTACTGGGTGAAGCCACTCGACCACAGCTCTCTGATTGGAGGGCAGAAGCCTTGTCTGTCCTTGTCTCCATTTACCTACTGCACCTGGCACAGAGTAGGTCCTTGATGAATCCTTCTGTGGCATAACACCAGGTGGTTGATCTAGAGGATCCAGAGTATAACCTGCAGGCCTCTTTCATTTTGGAGAAAGGGTCATGGGTGCAGAGCCCCAGAGCGGGCCTGAGGTGGCCGGGGACCCCACCTTGGGGAGAGACTCACCTCCTCCATGTAAAGGGCCCTGCAGCACCCGCCTGAACACAATCCTTGAACTCGGGCTGAACCCTGCTCTGGAGCATCATCCTGGGAACAGAAACTGCATTTGCATCGATTCCCGCACAGCCATTCTCTTTCGGGCCATACATTGTTCCTTCTTGACACGGGGCCTGTGGAGCAGCGGCACCCCCCTTGCTCTCTATGTAAATACAGCCTCCTTGAAGGATATTTATTGGCCTGCAGAAAAGATGCGGGGGAATTTTGCTCTCTAGGTGAGTGATAAAAAAGAGCAGCCAGCGGATATGTTCGCCAGCTTATTTACCACAAATCTCTTATTTATGGCCTCATAACCTTCTGATGGCCTGGTGTTCCTCCCCTGCCCCCACCTGGTTTTCTTTCCAGACGGAGAAAGTGCTGAGCCGAGGACTATTTGTCCAAGGTTCCTCTCGGCTCCTGGTTTCGACAGCTGGAGCCGGACCGATTGATTTCCCTGCGACTGTGTGGATGTCGATGTGGTCTGTGGGATGGCTCTCTTGCTGCAAAGTGTGTTGGGCTTCTTACGGCCTGGCAGATGGTGTTTGAGGTGCAGCCCATATTTCAATTCTGTGGGCATTCATTGAGCACCTATTGTGCCCAGCACTGCAGATGGTACCAGGCATAGACAGGGAGACAAGTGTCTAGTCCCTCCCCTGGGCCTCTTTCTGCAGTCTTCTGACAAATACTGAGCACTGCTGCCTGGCCACTGTGCTGGGCACTTTGCATGCATTATAGTCCATTGATCCTCTTAGTAATCCCATAAAGATGAAACATGTCCCCAGACCTAACTCATCGTGGATTCCTGAGGCCACTCTGTCTCCATGGCTCAGTAAGTGAAATGACACCATCACCTGGACCCCTAGCTAGGTGGCCTCCTAGAGTGGCCCGCAATAGGCAGTCCAGGCTCTGCTGATGGTGCCTCCTCCCCCAACGTCCTCCCATCACCTGGGCTCTGTGCCTGCCTCGCCTCTGCCCACTCCAACTCCCACTGTTCCAGGCTAGCATTACTGCCAAACAGACCTCCTGGTCTCGGATAGCCAGCTCCGGATCCATTCTTCCCTTTGGGTTCCTGTGAAACTTTTCTAAAGCACACTCCGACAGGGCCACTCCACTGCTGAACGCTTTCAATGAGCCTGCTACCCTCATGATGACATCCAGACTCTGGGCCAACAGAGTACTATCTTTAGAGTGGCCTGTCTTTGACGCTGTCTGTGGCGGGCTCCCAGGCTTCAGTCCTGCTGGATCATTCGTGGTGCTCAGCCCCCGCCAGGCTTGTTCTCGCCTCCTGCCTATGCACGCTCTGGTCCTTTCTCCTGAAGGCCTCCCACCTGCCTCCTTGCAACCTGACGACCTTCAACTCTGACTTCAGGACTCACTTCCAATGCCACGGCTTCAGAAACCTCCCAAGACAACCTTCCTGCATGTGGGCTAGACACTGGGTTGCCCGTAGGCTGCCGTACCAGAGCACCACTGCCCAGGTGGCTTGAAATAGTGGCAATTCTTTTCTCACAGTTCTGGAGGCCAGGAGTTCCCCAATCAAGGTGTTGGCCTGGCAGCTTTTCCTGAGGGGTGGGAAGGACAATCCGCTGCAGGCCCCTCTCCTGGCTTCTGGTGGTTGCCGGCAGTCCTCAGCGTGTAGATGCCTCACTCTAGCCTCTGCCTCTGCCTTCACTTGGCTGTCTTCTCCCTGTGTCTGCGTCTTCTCCCTTTCCATTTCTTATAAGGACATATGTCATCAGATTTAGAACCTACCTGGATAATCCAGAGTGACCTCATTAAGTTAATTACATCTGCAAAAACCCTCTTTCCAAAGAAGGTCACTCTTGTGGTACCAGGAGTCCATGGATCGGGATCTATCTTTTGGAGGCCACCTTCAAACCCATCACAGAGCCCCCTCCTCCATGTTCCCCCACACCTAGGCATGGCTCCTCCTCGGCCTTTCTCTCGCTCACAGTGGAGTTGATGGCCTGGTTGCCCTGCACATTGAGACTGTGCACTGACACTTTCATTTCTCTATCCCCAGTACCTGGCACTGGGCCTGGCCCCCAGACACTCATAAATAACAAATGGGAAAATTGATGAATTGGGTGTGCCTCCCATCGTGCTGATGTGGAAACTAAGTCTTATGAGGGAAACAAGATGGGCCTTAGGCCATGGAACGAATGAGGACAGAGCCAGGAATCTGTTCCCAGGATTGTGGGCTGGGGCCTTTTTCTTGGCATCAGCTCCCCTGTTCCACTGAGATCAGAGGCACCCCCTCAGAAAATCTCTTCTGCTGACTGCTTAGGAAGTAAAAAAGGTCTCCCGTCTCCCCATTCTGTAAACAGTCTTCCTCCCAGCTCCCTGCCCCTTTGATCTGAGCCCTCCCTACCCCTAGTACCCAGTCCTCCCAAATTAGAAACACATGTGTCATTTGACCTTGGCTGTTGATGGAGGAAAGTGACTCCCCACAGGGTGGATTTCCCAAAGGTCTTGGGGACCCCACTACTTGGGCATCCCATGGGAACAGTTCCTGGGGTCTTGGCTGTGCTGAGGATGGCAAGCTGGGAGGCCAGCATTGTGTGAGGGCAGACCCTCCATCGGACATAGCTCCTGGAAGAACAGGAAATGCCACCGGGGCTGAATCCCTGCCATGCGGCTCTAGATCCCAAATAGAAGGGCATTTATCCCTGCACACGGACTCTGAGGGCAGGCATGCTGAGTGAGGGGACAGGCGCTGAAATCCAAGCAAGCGTCCTGGCAACACAGCAAGCACAAGTCAGAAGTCACTTACACCCCAAGGGGGCCCTGCTGGAGAGGCCCTGACATGTAAGCACCACCTGCCCCCCACCATCCACTTCCCATCCAGGAGTCCATCCGATTGGGGAAGAAGCAGGTCTGTGTGAGAGGCACCTGGCTAGGCTGTCAGCTCAGACATCACCCCAAGGGGTGGAGAGGTTCCCCTAAACACACACCATCCAGCTTTCCCGCCTGACTTGTGATGGTCCAGAAACTCTCCCGTCTGCTCTAGGGCCATTGGAGAAGTTACCCAAGGCACAATAAGTGCCCTGTGTTCCCTGGTGGCTGCCCACTGCAGAGTTTTCTCTGGCTTGCTGGAAATGATCTCCTTCAGATTCTGTGGGGGGTCTCCCTTTCCCTTCAAGTCAGGTCAGCAGAGGAGCAAACCCAAGGTGTTCTGAGCAGAGAGAGCCAGTGACACTTTGCTCCATCTCTGACTGCATGCCTCTGGGAGACCCAACAGTTCTCCAACAGGGAAAGTCAGGATAACAACACCTATTTCACTAGAGCCTTATGAAAAGTGAATGGAATAACATATGTCCATGAGCAGGTCCGGCGATGTGCGGGGAATAACAAGAGGAGCTGACTGTTCAAAGCGCTCAGCGGTGCACATCGCAATGAATCCTCCTGCAACCCGCTGATGAGCTGATTTGCTATCAGCTCATTTTACAGGTGATGGAACAGAGGCCCAGACAGGCTGAGGACCTGCCCAAGGGTGCACAGCTCGTAAGCAGAAAGGCAGGAATCACGATGCTGTCCTGCTTCCCTGCCAAGTGTATATTTCTTTCCCTTCTTTTAACCAGGTGCCTAACACTGAACTACTTAAACAAATGATTTTTCAAGTGAACAATATGGGTTATGCATGGAGAATGAAAGATGCATATGACATGGCTGTGTGCTCCCCTCTCAATCGGGGGGCGGGGAGATGCTTGCAAATGGGGAATTACAATATGGTGTGTGTGTGGTGGGAGGTGCCTGGAACAGGAAGAGCAGTCTCTCCTGTGGGATCTGTTCGGGAATGGGTTGGCAAGTGAGAGAAGTTTCTGGCAAGTGGGGCATGCCTGAGCTGTGAGGTGCAGAGTCAGGAAGGGTGAGCCAGGTGGACTGGCTTGGGGAGAAAGTCGGGTTATTCCAGGCAGAGGACCCTGAGTAAGCACAGGATCTGAGCCATGAAACAGCCTGCCGAGTGCATGGAATGACAAGGAGCCGGATGTGCCTGGAATACCGAGGGCCAGGCAGAGTGAGGGTGGTGTGGTGGGAGCAGGCAGGCAGGCAGGCAGGCGCCAGGCCCCGGAGGGCCTGCGGGACAGGCCTGGGAGTGTGGGCCTCCGCCGGGGGCTACGTGGAGCCACAGGATGGCTCTATACAGGGAGGGGTAGGGGCAAATTTCTGTTTCTGAAGGATTATTCTGGAAGTTTTGTGTGAATCAGAGGCCAGCCTGAGTCAGAGAAATCTGTTAGGAGGTGAGACGTAGCGAGGGTGAAAATAGCAGATATGAGGACAGTGGCAGAAATGGAGAAATAAATTTGGAAATAAGTTAGGGTGTAAAAGCAGCAGGAATTGCTGAATTATTGAGGCAAGTATGGGAGAGAGAGGAGTCTAGGGTGGCATCCAGGTCCTTTGCTGGCGTTCTGGCTGAGCAATGGACCAATTTGTGAGCAGGGACCTAAGGAGAGTGGCAGATCTGAGCAATGATCATATCCAAGGCCTGTAGGCCACTCAAGGCAGGGGATGCCCATGAGGGGGTGGTTCTGCAGCCCTTTGCTTGGGAGAGGGGCATTGGCTGTAGTTGTGGGCTGGGGATGCACCTGCTTATAGATGGAGGTGGAGGTTGATGTCTTGGGAGTGTTATAGAGGAGTCCAAAGAAAGATCCTAGAGCAGCAAAGGCTTTAAGAGAAACGCCACAGAAGGAGAGTGCAGGGAGGGGAGTGTCTCAGGAGGAGGCGATGCTCAGTAGATCCAACCCCACAGAGGCCCGGCCAGGGAAGGACTGAGAAGTGCCTGGGTGGCACTTCGGGCTCACTGACTATGGTCGGGGCTGAATTTTGCGGTGGTGGGAGTAGATGTCAGAGCAAAGGGGCAGCAGGAAAGCTGGGGACAGAAGAGGACAGTGAGAGAGCATCATCTCAAGACAAAGCTAAGGTCAAGGACAGGCCATGTTCTCAGGATGAAACAGACTGAAGCACACTCACTCAGGGGAAGAAGCCTCATAAGGGATGTTCTGACTGCATAAGATGCATGAGAGAATCCACAAGACAGGCCTGGAGGAGGCACAAGAGGCCAGACTTCATGGGGGAGAAAAAGACAGGATGCCTCCCCTCACAGAGCCCCTCCTTGAGACGCCTGCCTGGCTGTTCTTGTCAAACCGGAGCCCCTGTGACTCCCTCACTGCTCCAGCTTTCTCCTATCCCCTTTGGCTTTGGGGCATTGCTGCTGTTCTTTTGATCATCGACCTCCCCCATGTACCAGCTCCAGGAGAGCAGGGATGTCACCTGTCTCATCCACAGCTGTTTCCCCAGCACGTGCCAGGAGCCACCTCTGGCTTGTAGGGGAAGCTTGACTCATGTCTGCTGCGGAATGGATGGAATGGCGGTGGAGAACGCTTCCCCGCTCACAGCCAGTGCTAGGGTCAGGAGACATGGGTTTGGAGTTTGTCAGTGGAGGAAGTGGTAGGATGGGCACACTGGGCAGAGGGTGGGCAAGAGTAAGGGAACTGGTGAGCACAGGCCACGTAGGGAAAGCCGCTGGTCCAGCATTAACCAATATTACTCAGAGCCTTACCCCCATCCTTCCTGCAACATCTGGGGAGCACATTTAACATGTGAGGAGCTGGAGATGCAAAAAGGAAGAACACCGACTCTACGCCTATGAGGAATTTATAATCCAAGGGAGAACAGGACAGCAATCGTCAGAGTCCAAATATAATGCATATTACATGGGTCATGTATCTGGCTGAAAAAATATATATAGTGAAGCCAAATTAAAAAGGCCTTGAAAGCTGGGCTAAGAATTTTGGGTTTTATCTCACAGACAATGGGGAATCATTTATAACCCAGGAAGCACCATGATCATCCCTGTGTTTTAGAAGAACTCATGGGCAGCAGGATGCGCCCTGTATTGAAGAAAGTTATGAGCAGGGGAAGGAAGCCCTGAGAAAATAGTTTCAAACAGTGATGTGCTGTGGCTACTTCCGCCCAAAGCAGCAAGAGCAAACATCTTGCCCTCCTTCCAGCTCCTCCTTCAGTGACGTCACCACTTACCCGTTGAAATTGCCCGTAATGGGAGTATTTACACCATGGAAATTGGCGAAGGCTACAAATCAGAGCTGCTTTTTTCTTGGAGTTCTGGTTTACCCACAAATCACTGGATAGTTCAAGTGCTAACCAAGCAGGTAGGCTCACAGCCTCACACAGAAGCTGACAAACAAGCCAGAGTTCTCTTTCAAGCCTCTGTAGGGACCTTATCAATTCAAATTGTTTTTTCAACCTCAGCTTTTTTGCTTCAGAAACAGACAATATTTTCTCTTCCCAACTTGGACCACAGTGTCTGGTCCCGTCCTCTGAGTGGAACTAACAAAATCAAGTGAAACCAGGAGGACAAAAGGGCCTCAGCTGTCCTGAGATGGGCTTTGTTTTGTTTTCACAGCTCAGAGACTCCAGGGACCTTGGGGAAGAGTTATCAAGCAGTGAGGGAACAAAATATTTCATCTTTGTGTGGTATTTGGGGCCAAATCACCTGACCCAGAAGCAAGGGAACAGGAAGGGGCAAGGCCACTGAGCCAAATTCCCTCCTCAGCCTCCCAGAGCTCCTGTCCTCTTGCAACTGAGCAAGGGGACTCCAAGCCCGCTAAATCAGAGGGCTGCAGACTACACGCAGCCACAAGGTGGGTCATGAGGAAAATGGGCTGCGTAGGCAATGAGATCATTGCTGTCTCCTCACCTGCCTGCCCTGGGGGTACAGCTGCTTTATTTCCAGGTAAAACACACAACTGTGTCTCACCAGGGTGGCAGCAAGAGAGAAGGGTTTTGCAGGGATTCCATAACGCTATTGACTTAAGATGTTAGTTACATTCTGAGAACGGAGACAGGCACGATGTTTAAATTACTGCCATTTTGAGGCAATATTGACTCTGCCCAGAGGTTTCTGTGGCATGTTTCGCGACGCCTGGACACAATGGCCTGTTACTTGCACGTGTGTGTGCACGTGCACACACACACACAAGCAATCAGTTAATAATTAAAGCCTTGCTTATGTGTCTGCATTAAAAAATGCTTCCTTGCATTTCATGTCACACCATCTCCCACTTCGCCCTCAAATGCACACTTTGAAGGAGGATTATTTCTGTTTTGTATGCTCTAGAAATTTTAAGTGATAGATGCATGCATTTCTATCCCCCACTTCTCCATTTGTGTCTCTCCTTACCTTTTATTCTTTTCTGCTCTCTGCTCCTCCCACCTGATTTTCGCCAACTTGTTTCTTCACTTCAAATCTCTCCCACTTCTGAGGCTGCTTGTCTCCCCTGCCCTGCTGCCCCCTCCACCTCCTTTCCTCCTTCTTCTTTTTTCCCTTCTAACTCCTTTTTCTCCTTGCCTCTCTCTTTTCTCTTCTTTCTCTCTCTCTTTCACTCAGCAATCCCTACCTCTCAAGGTCAACAAGCAGCTCTGCTGAGATCTTCACTCGAAAGAACTCACTTGGCTTTAATTAGGATCCTTTCAAAAACCCTGACCCCAGAGAAAGCCCTGCACTCGAGAGCTGCCAATTTCCTTTGCTCCGTCTTATCACCTCCCTCCTCCATGCTTTTAAGAGCAAAAATCCAATAAAAGAGATTTAGAATAGACATGTGGAAGAGAAAAGGACTGAGGACATTCTGGTTTGCTTCTTCAGTTGTGTAGATAAGAAAACTGGGACTCCAAGAAGGACCGTGACCTTCCACAGCCACGCAGCCACTGAGAGACAGAGCTGGTGTCAGGACCCTGGCCCCACCAACCCCTCTCCTCACCAGCAGCCCTCTGGACCTGACCACAGAGGGACTCCATGGAGCATTTGGAGAACACCTCCCAGGCCTGGACTCTGCTTAGCAACAAGTGCTGATATTTTTCCACACATGCCTGGAGGCATCTTGGGAAGAAGCTACAAAGTTAAACAAAAACAAACGGGGAACTTGGTAATTGTACACACTCCTATTTTCTTAACTAACCAACTGGATCTTGTTAAGGGAGGCTTCTGAACGCAGACAGAGAGAACCTTGTTGTCACCCGTTAAATATGTCTAATTTTACACACTGTCATGTAGTTCTCCATCCAGCTGCCTCTCTACTGGAAAGGAGTGACTGATTACATCTTGGCCCGTTTCTCAGCACGTAGGTATTTTTTGCAGGCAAGATTGCAGACCCTGCTGAAATGGTCTGGTGTTGGTAATCTTGCATACTTGGCATCTTCAGCAGACTTTTAATTCATCTAAAACAGAGAGCTGTTTTTTTCAGATAGTGCCGTCTGCTGATGCTGACATGGCATGTTTTCTCACCTGAGTCCTGCCTCCTCTCTAGTCCTCAGTTTCCCCAACTGTAACATGAGAATGGACTAGAGTCTCCCAGGGCCTTTCCAGAGCTCAGCTCTGCTGCTCAGACTCACTCTACACTTGCCAAGACCTTAATTGCATCAAAACGCTGAGCAAAGTCTGGTTTTTGTTAGGGCTTTTGCTTACAGAGCTGTCTTCCAAATCAAGAGTCTTACTGATGCTTTTAAATAAGCCTATACTTTAAAGAAAAATGAAAATGAAAATATCGAACCTCTGGGTGCACTCTGCACCCCATAATGAAATGTACATGGAGGACATACATCCGGTTCAAGGACTTCATACAAAGTTATAATAACTTAACAGTAATAAGCTAATAGTCAAATGGAATTAATAACAGGAATGTGGCCATTTAAGCAGTGAGATGGCCCCATGTCGTGGAATTTTTGCAGCTAAACCCTCTTGAGTTTCTGTAAGCTAATAGCAATTAGCCCCTGAGTTAATGGCAGCTGCAGTCATAATGAGATTGGAATTGATCATTTAGAAGCAGGCTCCCATAAGCTGGCCTTATGAGGCATTTCAGCTGTAAAGCACTGCCTTGACCTCTTCTCCTCGTATCTTTCATCATGACCCCATCTTCTTTCAGGCTTTCTGGACGCATCTTACTTTTTCCCTGCACAGCATGCAGCTCTGCAGAGCACCAGGAGTAAAGCCTCAGGGTGGGTTGTACAGCCTACAGACCAAGAGCCTGTGCCTGCCAAGCAGAATCTACTCAGGCTTGGCTGCACAAGCCCTTTCTTTGGCAGGTGCCTCCTTGGCAGGTTAAGCCCACCTTAGCTTTGGCTTCTAATTCTGGCTCTCCTTCTACTCTGGTCTGACGAGTGGGTTGACCTCTCTCAGCCTTGTTTTTCTCAACTGTGAAGTGGGGTGCATATGATCTACCTCATCAGGGTCATAGAAAAGACGCAATAAGGAAATCTATGTAAAGGACCTTTACCTACCATGAAAAGATGCCCAATGAATGTCTTCCTTTCTGTATCAGTTAGACTTTGCTCTGTAACAAATCACCCCCAAAATTAAAGGCTTAAAATAACAATAATTTTATGTTGCTCACAACTATGTGGGTCATCTGGCTGTGTTTTTTCCTGGTTTAGCCAATTCATTCTGGGCATCGTCATTCATTTGTGGTCAGTCGATGGGTAGCTGGTGGCTGGACAGTCTAGGTATGCTGTGGCTGGCAGGCTGGCAGCATGAGACATAGGAAGAATTGGGATGTGTGACTCTTATCCTCCAGCAGACTAGCTTGGGCATATTCCCATGGTGGTCTCAGGAATACAAGCATAGGAAAGAAGGAAGTCCCAATATGCAAGTGCTTTATAAGTCTCTGCTACATGACATTTACTATTATCCTATTGCCCAAAGAAATTCACGTGACCAAGAAAGCCCTATGGCCAAGAAAGTCCCGTGGCCAAGTCTACCTACACTCTACCTGTTGATGCAAAAAGGGCACAGAGATGGGAAGAATCCGTGGTCATTTTTCCAACCTGCCACACCTCATTTTACTTTCATTTGCTTTTGTCATCTATATGCCGTGTCTTGTAGATAGCAGGTGTTTGGAAAGTAGTTATTAAGTGAATGAATGACAGAAACCAGTCTTCTGTTAGTAAAGCTGAGACTCCAATGGTTTGCCGAGATGGTTTGCCAAGATGTTGCTGCAGTTGGGAGGAGGAAGCAGGAGTCAGACGCCAGCCTCCTGACCTCCACTCAGACAATCGTTCTCTCTTCCATAGATGAGGAAAACAGTTACATAACACATCCCAGCACCTCGAGATTTTTTTGGTGTGTGCTTTTTCTGAGCATCAGCTTCCCTCCTATATTTAAAGGCATGGGTGTGGTCTCAATGGCCCTCCCAGTCCTCTGTGTGGGTGCTTTGGAAGGTGGTATGGTCCAGAGCAGTCCTTTGCCCAGTGCTTCTCCCAGGAGACAGAGGGGTGGGAAGGGGTGGCACTGAAGCTCCCCAGGTCCCTCTGCATGTGGATATTGCTGGAAATGCAGTACATACGTCAATGTGTGGCTAAGCCTTGAGCCAGCTCTGAATTGTCTGGACAAAAGGTGATTAAATTACTCAAGAATCAATTCCAGGAGCTGTTTTCCTTTCTTATTTAAAGATCACAAACTATTTTCTCCTGAGGATAAAAACTGGGCCTCACATCTTCCCTATTAGAGGCCCCAAATAAGCTTTCTGGCTGGGGGATGTGTGCGGGGAGATGGGAGCAAATGCAAGCTCTGTCTTTTACATTCTAATTCAGTGAAGTCTGCAGAGGGAAGTTGGGGGAATAAAGCTCTCTCACCTCTGGGTCTCCCTGCAGATATTTTGTCTCTCTTCCCACATGGGAAGATTTTTTTTTTTTGTCATGGGAGATTTGCTCTGGAGGGACTCTCGGGCCCAACTTTCTTGACAGCACACTACCTCTTGCCATGGCTTGTGTATCAGTCAGCCTAGTCTAAGTTATGCCGCAGTAACAAATAACTCTCAACTCTCAGTGACCTATAGCAGCAAAGGCTTAGTTCTCACTTGCGTTCTACATCCTTTCTGACCAACTGCAGCTCTGTCCTATGCCATTGTCATTCCAGTACTGGGCAGAGGGAGCAGCCTCTCTCAGGGGCATAGCTAGTCTCATGGCTGAGGAAAAACAGTAGAACTCCACAGCTCTTAATGCTTCTGTTCAGAAGTAGCACACTTCACTTCTGCTCACATTTCATTGGCTAAATCAAATCAAATGACCAAGCCTAATGGGGTAAGGAGGAATAATCTTCCATGGAAAAGACCAGCAAATATTTTAAACAATAATATAATCTAACACATATGGCCTCTGCTTGGGTCGGCTTGGTGCTGGTGTTTAGACAAGGGTGTGGGTTTTCCAGGGCTGGGCTGGAGTGAAAGAGGAATGAGACCCAGGGGTACCGTGAGGGAGGTGGGAGGCCCACTGCCTTTGGCTCTGTCTACTTTAGTCTCCAGCAGAGGAAATTTTAACAGGCACTTCCATGAAGCCATTTACTCATGAACTCCGCAAGTTTCCAGGCATTTCTGCTTGAAGCAGCCCCAAGAATTGCTGGAGGAAAGCCAGCAGCCTGGGCTGTCTGGCCCTATTCTAAGAAATAAAATGTCCCCTGTTCCTAAGGTCACACAGGGCAGGGGGCTGTGTACTGGTCAGAAAAGGTGTGATGAGGTCAAGTTCCCTGAAGGACAGTAAGACACCCCAGCACCCCCTGCAATTCAGACCCTGAGCCTCACACAATACATCCTGGAGAGCCTCAGACTTGGAGGAGGATGACCTGAATCTCAGGTCCACTTCTTCAACTTATCAACACAAGCCCTTTGATGGTCAGTTGCCTGCTCTGTGCTTCATTGTTTTCATCAATAAAATGGGAGTAACAGCATCAGACCTGCCTTCATTTGCTAAGAGTTGGGAAAGTTTTATAGAAAAGAGTGAAAACCGATTTGCCTTATGCTCCCTAGGAGTTTGATACAGATGGTGCATCTCATGTCTCTGGTCACTCCCTGTCTCATGAGAACTCAGAGAGGGGTAAGACTTCACTTCCAAGATCTCTAAAGGGTTGTCAGGGGACAGGGAGAGAGGGTGGGTCCCCAGGAAGACAAACATATTAGCTCACACTAGAAACAATTTTCTAACAAGGCCAGAGCCATGAGGAGACGAAATGGCTGACAAGGGCATGATTCCCTGTGATGAGAGGTGTGCAATTAGGGCTTGAAGTCTGCTTCCCAAGGATGCTCTGAATGCCAGTAAGCAGTGGATGGATGCTGGAACCAAATGGCCGAGGGTCATAGACTCTTAGAATTAAATGATTGCTGTCAAACTCGAAGGCACAGTAATATGACCTCATGGATGAAGCCCTGGCAAACCATGTGGCAGTAGGGGAAGCATATGCCCTGGCCTGACCTCCCTTTGATCTTCTTGAGGCTCCTTCCTCCTGACAGTTCCAGGAGACTTAGATGGTGATTCACTCCTCAGTGGCCTTGGCATTTCCTACATGTATCCTGGAAATAAGGCATCAGTCCTAGTCTGGTGGCCGTCCACCCCCAGGAGTCAGGACATCCCTCTGGAGTTCTGTCTGGTCCCAGTGAGAAACTCTCAGGAGGCACTGTGGTCCACAATGGCCAGGGAGCAGTGGTGCGCAGGTGCTCAAGACACTGGACTGTCCTCAGCGGGAAGGACACAGACAGCACTGTGTGTTTGCTGGGGAGGATGGGATAGTGTTGGTGAATGGATCACATCACCAGCCCTGGAAATGCTGGGTGTATGGAAAGCTCGAATTGGGCTTTTGATAATGATCATTTTCTTGGAATTGGAGCAATACATTTCTCTCCTCCCACGCCTTCTGTATCCTC